GCTGCTGCTGCAGAGAATCGGTCGGTAAACACTACCATATCATGCGACACCGACACCTCTCAAAGCACCCTCCCCCCACACACACACACCTTCATATCCCGGCCAGACATCCCCGCGGTGATTGTGGCCAGAGTCTGCAGCTCGTGCTGGGAGAGCTGCTTGGCGTACAGCCCGAACACCTCGCGGCGCGTGGTAGCGTCAGGCAGCCCAAACTGAATCGACAGCTGGAAGCGGCTGCGGGAGTTGGGAAAGAGGAGCAGGCAACACCAAAAGCGACGATCCAAATCACTAAAAAACGCAAAACATTTACTGGTCAATTATTGGGGGGAGTTCGTTTTGAGCAAAACAAGCATTTCTCTATTTTTTTTTGTCTTGGGGGGCAATATCTAGAGAAACAACGAAACCCGGGGTCACAAACAAAGTCCTGAGCTTTTTGCTTTTCCGAGCGTCGTGTCCAGGGAGCCAAGACTGATTCGATTGGTGGAATTGGCCCCAGAGACGGAACAACAAAACCACCCCCGTTCTGTGCTCCTATCTCGAAGTGCAAGAACGCAGAAACCAAAGGCATGTTGTGGTTGAGAAATAAGCACGATTTTCTTCTCCTGTAGTGTAAGGAAAAAAAAAAAAAATGATGTGATCCCAAAATCAGCACCAATCTGTACCCCTGTCTCGAAGTGCAAGAAAAAAAATTAAGTCATGTTGCGATGCGAAATCAGCACCATTTTGTTCTCGTTTGTCGACGTGCAAGAACAAAAAATTGGTCTGGTTGTAATGCGAACCAACGAACGAACCTGATGAGGGCCGCGTCGAGGTCGTCTTTCCTGTTGGTGGCGCAGATGAGAATGTTCTTCGATCCCTTCTCGAAGCCTTCGACCTGTTTAAACCAAACAAAGGAGCAAACCATACGTCAGAGGATGAACATCGAGAGTCGTGGGCAACTCAGTCGACTTTGTCTCACCGCGTGTAGACAGACGTATTGCACATTATGAAAGCGTAAAACCTGAAAAAACGATAAACCATACAGACAGCAAGATAATCGCCTCCACAACAAGGGTAGCGTCGACCATGTCATCACAACCAAAAAGAACAAGAGGATCTTAGCAACATAAAAAAAAAACAGCAACAGCAATAGCCCCACCCCCCCCCCCCCCCCCCCCCCCCCCCCCCCCCCCCCCCCCC